CCCCAAACCCCAAAACCCCAAAACCCCAAAACCCCATTTAAGCTGAAAAGATTGAACTTATAAAATAAAATTCTATCCCTCAAGATGAGTTCGTTTGATAACATTCCATTGAATAGAAAGAAGAAAAAGAAATCCAAATCAAGCATACCAGGCAAATATTTAGACAAATAATTATTTTTATACTGGTTAAAGAATAAAACGAGTAACGCATTTATAGGGCAAAAATTCCTCGATAGTGACCAAATTTTTAAGAAAAAGAGCAACCCATTAGAAAGGATTGGTGATGTTAAGTAAGGAGAAGAAATTCAATATTTATATTAAAAAGACAATATATTTTGACTATAGATCTCCGATAAGAGTCTGAAATTTTAAATAAACAACAGGATCAAGGTAATCCAATATTTGACTGTTATTTATTTTTTAGGAATTATGGCGATCCCGATTATGAAAAACTTTAACATAATTACCAAGAAGAAAAAGAAGAAGTTTAATAGTTTGATTGACCTCTAAACATATCTGCTCCCTCTCCAATACATTTGGTAAAAGATCAGGCTAATAATTCAATTCAATATGGTCAAAACCTTGTTCAGGAAAATTTAAAATACTCAGCAAACTCCAATTCCTTCCCGAGACAGAAAAGAAGTAATCCTAGTCTGACCTAGATTCCATATTTATAATGTATCTAGTTTCCAAAGCTGCAAATTCATCCCTCACGTTGAACCCCCAGATGCGCTTGACAAACTCAGATAGAATCTGCAGCATTGAAGTGATTAACAAGTCTGTGGCTGATTGCAAGAAGAAGCTTGATAAATATCAAAAGGCAAAGAAATTTAGACAAAATCAGAAGTCTCAGAGTGTAGGCACTCATTATAATTCAGGACGGAATTCAGATAGCACCCAAAGATCTAACATAAAGCCAAGTACTTCTATTAACTCATGATAAATAGAGTGTCATTTATTTAAGGCCACAAAAGGCATTAATGCATTTCCTAGAGGTAGTAGCTGCAATAGCCCTCGTAAGTTCTATCTTGGCCATAACATAAGCTATATAGGAATTGAGCAACCCTTCTTGTACAATTTCTTTAATGGTAAAGTTCCGACTCTTCGTGAGAAGCTAAATTCTACTGGTAAGCATCTTGTGTTCAATGGATAATTGAGGTGTGATTTTTTATGAAATTATTCAGTAAAATCTAAGCTATTCCATCAATCATTTTATCAATAAATTCTACCTCTATGAAGCTTTCAATAGGGGTTTATAAACTATCATAATTGTATTAAGCAAAATAACTATTTGATAATAACTTTTGCTGTTAAAAAGAATTGGTACCATAAATACATGAGATTTTGTCCTGATCTTTACCTCTTTACTTTATAAAAATGGCATATTTAAAATTTTATGCTACCAATTATGATATTGCTTTTTTTTGTGTTCATCCTATTTTTAGTTCTACACTCAGATTTGCAAAGGCAATCTATCTTCGAGCAGCAGTTTCAGCTAGAGAATACAGAATACTCAGACTTGTTCTCTAATGAGAAGATCAGTAACTTTTATAATAGTAAGCTTAGTCCTGACTCTTAGAGAAATTACTTGAGGATATTTACAGGGGAGATGATGACATTCTTTCAAGTAAGCCAAACAAATATTTTAGATGAACTTGAAGGAGGCTATGATTACGGAAAGACCAAGAAAATTAGAAAGAAAGTTAAAAAGCTAAAGCATACTCTGTCAGGTAAGTCTGGCTAAACTATGAAAATAGTTTAATATGCAACATATAGCGACTCTTGGTAGAAAGCCTGAACCAACATGAATGCAAATAAAATCTCTAGCTCCGAAGATTCATCAAAATATTATTCAAAAACGGAAAAGTTTACTAAAATCAAGGTGAAAGAACAATGAAAGTATGGTGAACATTAACATAAATTCTTGACTTTTTAAACCTTTGAAAAAGGATGCTTTTACTGATAGTATTCGCTTCCGTAAAAAGAAGAAAAAGATAAAGAGTAAGAGTTTGTCCTAAAATTTAGACCTAAAATCTTGGATTAGAAAAGAGAGACTTAAAGGAAATATTAAAAGCCTTGAGAAGGTCAGAATTCTGAATCTAACATGTGCACAAGGTTTTCAGAGGAAGAACATGATGATGAATAAAAATCCAGAGCCTTTCTATACTCATGAGAGCATATTTTAGGCATAATAGCATGAATTATCGACAGATAATTCTGTAGAAACTGTAGTCACCATTTGTAATTCAATTCCATCAGCTTTCTAAGGGGTTTTGGGGTTTTGGGGTTTTGGGGTTTTGGGG